AACAGTAAGAAGTCTTCAGATCTAAATTGGGCAGTACTTTTTAAAAGTTGGATCTATATATCTAAACAATATACATAATATAGAAGGTCACACTGGATGACCTGAGATATTGTAGGGCTGGAGGGAAAGAAACTTAAAATCTTCCATAAAATTTCTTAAATCTCTATTTTCACTGAAAAGGAGGAAAAGATGCAAAGGCATTCACATGAGCTACATTAAATCCCCACCCCACAGCTATTTTATCTAAGCCAGGGCACTTGGTTACAAGAGTTTGGGTTTTGCTTGTATAGTTGGGACCAAATAAGATTATAGTCATATTAAAGGATCCATGTCAGGAAAAAAAAATCCAGCTATTCACTCTAGATATGCAAATAATTGTGGGTGCAAATTCAATGGCTGTTTTTGAAAATACAATTCTAAAGGTCCAATTAAAAAAAAACGAACCACCAGTTCTAAAATCTGACATTTCAGGTACAAACAATTAAATGCTGCATCTTTCTTCTGTAACACGGCAAGAGAAAAATACCCAAAATGCAGTTTGGAAACAACAATGGCCTCCAGCAACACTTCAATCACATAGGTGCCAATTTAACTTAGTTTTTAAAAGTTTATTAAATTTATTGCCACATCTGCAAAGGCAGTAAGTAAAGCCCTGCTTAAAACTCTGCCAGTGCCTGGAGGGGACAGGCAAGCTGGAAAACATGTATGGCTCACCCACAAAACTAGCAAACATGCAAACTGCCAGAATCAAGTGCTAGCTGGCAGCAGTTACAGTGAGCATGCAACTCCTACTGAAACAAGCAGCAGAAAGTCCCTGCAGGATGGGATCAGCCAAACATGAATGATTCTGCCCTGAAATGCCTGTACTGTATAGTCAACAATGCACCATTACGCCTGCTGTACAAGTTTGCAGCCACTAAGACCAAGATTTATCCTCAAATAGGAAATTATGCTGCTACAGATGCACTTTGCAGTCTATTCTTCCATTGATTTTGAGGGATATAATTGGGCAAAGGAAATCCCTCATGCCTCAATCATATGTTCCCTCCTCGATATTCACATCTTTATTAATACGGTTAAAATATTATATTATGAACAAGCTAAATGTTGTCTAATTCCCTGGGTCTATTCTTCTGACAGAGTATAGACATTTTATTGTTTTGCAATAAAATAAAGAGCTAAAGTTACTGACCTTCCAAAAAACAAAAACAAAAACCCCACCCCAACGATGTAAATTACAATTCAAGTTTATTTACATAGAGTAATTTAACGCACTACTCCTGAAATGTCAAACAATTGCTCTAGCTTTGAGGGAGCAAGAACATTTTGGGGTAAATTCCAGAGAGATGTCACGTTACTGTCACTTAACACAAATGGTGGAATTGTTGCTTGTGTAAACTTGGTCAGCAAAAGAAAAGTAAATCTGAAAAATATAGATTTTCAAATAGGATCCTAGCATTTTACAGTGAAGTTACATTTCCAGGTAGTTGAAAGAGCCATATAGTTTTGATAATCGACTATGAGTTTCAGGCAACTTTCACCACACTGAAATGCACCAACAGGCAGATTCAGCCTTACTTTATTTTTGATTTTGGTTAGAATGCTCACTTTCCTTCTTGTTGAACCTATACTCTTAAACCTGTGCTGATGGGCACCATATAGATGACTAAATTAGATAAACAGAATAACATCCTTATCTCAAGAATATGCAGCACAGTATATTTATAATACAGCTGGATTCTGATTCTACACAAAAATGCACTGATTTGAAGCCCAGTCTTCAACTCCAGTTTCATTAATAAAGGTAGGTAAAGTGAACATCACTGGGCAGGGAGCACAAAGGGTACTGTGGAAGCAGGATTTACTGCATTCTGCCTTCCTTCCTGAGAATTACTAAAGGCCCAATAGACATACCTAGGTTCTGGAAGCTCTGTGGGTTAGGAAAAGCCACTCTTTAAGCAGTGTTGGCCTCCAGTTAATGCTTCCTTTCTCTTTTAGAGGAGGGCTCAATTGTTCCCTCCCACAGGTTGGGGAACAATTGTAGGGGAAATGGCAGGTGAGAGAGCCTATGACAGAAGGGCTCAGCACCCCACATTGCTATGGGAAGGTGACCCCTAAAGAAGGAATGTATCCCTAGGAAGACACTGGATCTGTAGATATGGAGCCCGGGGTTGCTGAGTAGTATATTTATTAGCTGGACACACATGTATAAATTTGCTGTGAAGTATAACAAATTAATTTGATTTTGTTAAGTGCAGCCTCCATCCTACAAACATCTACTACCTGGCAGTGCTTCCTACTCTGAGTAGTTCCAAAAATTTATTTTTAGTGGGATTTTTTAAATGTAAAGAACATGTCACATACCATAGTATTATACAGAAACGTGGTGTGTAATAAGAACAATGCACCTGCTAGTGTTATCTGAAGATATTTTTCAAAGAACATGAAAAAGGACTTTGCCTGCTATAAGGACCAACTCCAATTTATATTCACATTTAACTGTATCTCCAAATACTCAGTGTAGACTGAGTAGATTAAAATGTTTATTGGTTAAAAAGAAAATTCTATCAGTGAAGGAAACTTGCATGTCAGGATTCAGCCCCATGTTATTTACAAGAATTAATTTTTGTTTCATATACTTTCCCTTGCATTTTATACAAATCACACTGGACACTATAGAACAAGAGTTGTTCTTTGCATGCTATGTAACTAATCTTTCAAATGGTTTTAGATAAAATGTATTGAAATGACTGAGAAGGGTGGTTAAGTGGACAGGGCACTGGACTGGGACACAATTGCTGGGCACAGCCATATGCTTGCTAGGTCATCTTGAGCAAATCTTTAATCTACCCTGTCTCTCAGTTCTCCACCTGTAAAATGGGGGTAATACTGTCCTATCTTGCAGGGATGTTGTCAAAGTAAAATCCATTAACAACTGTGAGGTGCTCAGACAATATGGTGATAAAGGCCATACGAGGACCTACCCTAACCTGTGAGACTAGCTTTCTGCAAAATTTAATTGTTTTAAATTAAGTCTTAATTTGCTAGCAGCTCACATACAAACCCAACCATTCGAACTCAAACCTGTGTTTTGGCTTTACTATAAATGATAAGCCATGTAATTGATTTGTGTAATTTTTAATGGGGAAAAAATTTCATTTGAACAGACAAGATGTAATCTGAAACACCAACTACAGGATTTCAAATGACAAAAAGTTAAGTAAAAAGGCACAGCTGTGATGTATTTAAAGTGATTTGGAAAACTTCTCCTTGGTACACTGAGTACTATTAGAATTTCTTTATGAAATCTATACTTACGTCTCATTTACTTTAGATAGTTATTTGACTTAGTGCAGCTGTGCTTACCTGATAGGAATGAGGGAGAATATAGCAAATCATTTTTTTCCTAATCCTTTGCAGTCTCCTGTCTGAATGCTCTATCTGCTCAGGTTAGGCACAGAGTACTATTTTTACCAATCTTCTAAAGTCTTCTAAAATCTTCTAAAAAACAGGCAACTGTAAGAGCCATATCATTTTTTGTTCTGTTGAAGAGCACAATTAGCTTTTCAATCTCTAGATAATATCGATGCTTTGCTTAATACATTTTTTGTATGTAATTCAGGCATCTGTTAAAGGTAACAAAGAGTATTCATATCAATAGAGAGAAAAGAACATAGAAGAATGCACCTTTAATTTCTTACTCCCCAGACTAGGGATTTAATTTTGATTTCCTTCAGTTTACCTACATTTGACAATCTCAATGTAATACTTAGCATTAGCTTATTGTTTCAATAAGACTCTTGATAGAGAATTGCATTCCAGAATATCTGATAAAATACTATATTATACACACAAAAATAAACTTTTTTCCTATAGCCTTTAAAACTTCCAGCAGTTCAGCAAGAGGCCTTGTTACTCAAGTCCGTGAGGTTAAATTTTAGATAGTACAGTTTCAGATCTTTTTCTTTCAACTCTTGTTATTCACAAGCTGTCCTACAACATTTGATTTACTAGCTGGTATCTCACTCCCCTGCCTCTCCTCTCACAGAAAGTGACACAGCATTTGCTATTTGTTACTCTCCTTTGTGTTTGAAGAGAGTTTAAATTGTTTCACTTTTATTCTTAAATGTCTTCAGGTTTTTATTGCTTTAAGACTATATTCATCCTGTGAGAAGCGTGCCTGGCATTGCCCCTTTGTATAATTTAAACCATGCATCTGTCTTGAATGGAGTGAGCGGAAGTGTGGACAAAGTAACCACACAGGAAGGTTTCCACATCCCTTCCCTGTGGGCTGCTGGAGGGGTTCTGTACTGGCATTAAACAGGCTGCCACAGAGAGAGCCGTTGCAGTGGACTCATTGGAGGACACTACAGATCCATAGTTAAATAGATCCAGTGGCCCAGAACTCCTGAAGGGGAGAAGTTTGCTATGCTCTGTCAGGGCTTGAATAGTGGCTGTGAATGGACTGCACGGACTCCATCTCTCTTATCACTGCACAAAGCCCTATTCTATACCCATACTGCAGAAATCTCAGTATCACTCCCAAATGTTGGTATTCTACTTACATAATGTATTACAGTTAAATTCAGAACCAAGTCAGAACATAAATCTAGTTTAACAAGGCACAAACTTAAAGTCAGCTATGGTGGTCTGAATCCCCCCCCAAGCCATTTCCTACCAAACATTTATTTGAAATACCGAGATCAAAATGAGGACCTGATACTCAGAAGTGCAGACCCCCTACCACCATTGACTACCACTGGAATTGCAAGATCCCTGTACCTCTCAAAATAAAGCCTTGAAATCAGCAAGACTGCTAGATATCAGTTCTTAAATCTCTATAATATCTGTACATAAATATGATAAGAAATAAACCAAAAGCATGCACCAAGGTTAAGATTTAATCTCCAAAACGTTCTCAGTATCTGAGGTGAAGAATACTCACTTACCTACTTTTCTAAAAAACAAAAGGTAATGAAAACACATCAAGAAACAAACTGTACAATTTCTGAACTGCACTGTTTATTTTGCTGCTTGAAACCTAAGTGACAGTATGCCACTATAATTACGGGGTTTCCTCTAAACCTTTACTACGCTGCAGGTACAGAAATATACGGACACATTTTTGGAGAATTGACATTTTGAAAAATGCAGCAAACATTTCAATTAATACATGAGAAAAGGAAGTGTTCAAAAGGGTATGCATTTCAAGTTATTGCAGGTTATTTCTGTGAGAGAATTTCTGCAGGTAAAACATGTTTAAATTTAACCAACAGTAACGTGTCAGTGTATTTAAAATCATGACAAAAAAATCTTCTCTCTGGTCATTAGTTGCCCTTGACAAATTACTATCATGTTGTATGTTTAGGGCGAGATGTCAATACAGCATAAATCCCGTGGCATTTTGGTTTTCTTCTGGAGATTAAAGCTGTTTTTCTTGGGATAAATGCAGCAGCAAAACACAAACCAGCTGATCAAAAAAGCACTTCTGCCATAACTCCAATAATTTCAGGGCACATCAACCGACAGTAGTTTTGCCATTCCCAGTTCTTTTAAGGTTTACATCACTGCACTGTTGCCTTAAGTACGTTTTGTAAAAGCTTGTTTTCTGTTAAGCCAGCTTGCTGACTACAGCCTGGTTGAGAGAATTTAGTTGGTTGGTCCATTTATCTAATGCAGTATATCGTGCACCACCCCTCTTCTGATGATCCAGTTCAAGGAGCTGGTTGACTTGATCAATTCGGCCATGAATAGTGCTAGAAAGATACAAAAAACTTTAATTAGATACATCTGTAATGCACATTAAAAATCTGAAACAACAGTGATTCACTTAAAACACACACTCAACTAATGCAAAACAGACATTAGGATTTATTTAAGAGCTTGACTGGCCTAGGAATTTAACATCTGCACAATGTATTGCCCGGTGGGAAATTATGATGATGAGAGGTTAAACTGCAGACCCACTTCCCCTGCCAAACACTTACAGATAGAGACACTAGGACTAATGTGCATGCAGTGCATTTGGCTCAGAGGTGCTTGTAGGAATTTAAGGTCACCTGATATATAAACAGCACTTTAGAGAACACCTGATCTTTGTTTTACAGTGAATTCACTGACTCCAATAAGGTGTCTCAAATATAGGAATTAAAGAAAGATTTTTTTTTAAATTCAGAAACAGGGAAACATTTCTTCTCTTTTTAACAGTAAAACTTCTTATAACTCAGCAAACTAAAAGAATAAATCAATACAAAAAAATTCTCCAGTTGTTTTATAAACTATGGCTGAGATATGCAAATTAGCTAGGAGGTTTAGACACCATTCCCTTATAATTAAAAGGCTTTGAAAATCTCAGCCTTTACATATTTATAGATCTAAACACCACTTGGTAATATATAACTTACATAATTTGGCACAGTGATTCAATTATATGCCATTATAAAATGCAAAAGTAATGTAAAATCATACCATTCAAACTACTTAAAACTCTTCTGAATTCACATCTTCTAATGTGACTCACGTTACTAACCCAGACAGCTCTAAAGGACTTGGCTTACACATTATCTTATATAATTGTAGACTCAAATGGCATTTTCAGGGGAAACACACACACACTATTTGCTGTTTTTTCTACACTACACTTTTAAGATATTCAATAAATCAGAAATAGGAGGAAAGTACATACTTATCCAATATGCACTGCACAAGCAAGCTCTCCACGTCAGCTACATCTATGTTTAATTCCTAAGACAGAAAACTCTTGTTATGTTGCCATCGTACTATTTTGCAACCAACATTTAATCTTTTTTATTTTAATTTTCACATGTAAGTACTAGGTTCAGTTTCTTAATGTTAGACTATAGTACCAAGTCAATAATAATCAGAGAGAATAGGAAAAGAACAACCAAGATATACACTGTCAACAAGAAAAAGATCAGCAGCATCTCAGAAGAGCTCAAGATGCCACCCCTAAATTTCAGTGAGCAGCTCCCGCAGCGAACTCTTTCATTGATTGCAGTCATAAAGGAACAGATCAGAAGATTATAGGAGATCTAATACAATGGTGGCCAAACATACTCACCCTCCGAGCCTCATATGGCAATCTTCAGAAGTTCGAGAGCTGGGACGCACCTGCCAAGGCTCAGGGCTTCATCGCCACTCCTGCTGAAGCCCCGAGCCTTGGCAGACACACCCTACGAGGCTGAAACCCTGAGACCCTCCACTGGGCAGAAGCTGAGGCAACACTTGGGGGGAATCATGTGCTCCCCCCCCAGATTTTTGCTAGGGTTTGCTGTCCCTGCACTGGGCCCCCCTCGCTGCGCGGCAGCTGCTGGAGTCGGCAAGCTGGGAGCCGCGGCTGTGGGGAGAGGCAGCGGCAAACACCTGGAAGCTGCAGTGTGGGGCCGCTGAGGGTATGGGGGGGGCATGCCTGAGGAGGCGTGACTCAAGTGTTGAGGGGGAACAAACCTTTAAATTTGTATCCCCCCCCATTTTCAGATGGCACCAGTTGTCTTTGGCAGAAGCCCCTAGCCCCACCACACCACTGCAGGGTAGAAGCTCTGAGTTCCGCCCCCTCCCCGCCCCAGTCTGATAGGCAGAGAATGCGGGATGGGGGAGGAGGGGGGCTGCAAGCCACACTTTAACTGTAAAAGAGCCGCATACAGCTTGTGAGCCACAGTTTGGCCAGCCCTGGTCTAACAGTTGGAATGGAAGGGGCATGCATTCATAGGCGCTGACTCCGTGGGTGCTCTGGGGCTGGAACACCCACAGAAAAAAAAAATAGTGGGTGCAGCTGTTTGGAGGTGCCGCCAAACAGCTGACTGGTGGCTGGGGGAGAGGCTTGGGGGGGCAGAGAGCAGCGAGCAGGCAGGGATCTGGGGGAGGGTGGAGAGCCGGGGCGGGGCCTGGAAAAGGAGGCAGAGCAGGGGCAGGAAGAGGGTAGGGCCTCGGGGGAGGGATGGAATGGGGGGTCTCAGGGTAGAGTGGTGGTGGAGCACCCCGGGGAAAAGAAAAACTCAGCGCCTCTGCATGTGCTCACTAGCAGTGCTTCAGAAGGCCAAATATGTAAGAAGTGGCGAAGCTCCTGGCCTATCTTGTGCTGCAAATCTGATGAATTCTGTGCAAATGTAGGGTGACCAGATGTCCCGATTTTATAGGGACAGTCCCGATATTTGAGGCTTTTTCTTATATAGAAGCCTATTATCCCCCACACCCGTCCTGATTTTTCACACTTGCTGTCTGGTCACCCTAGTGCAAATGGTATCTTTAAAAAAAAAATTTAAATAATTACTTACAGTAATCTGTGTAAAGACAATTTTATCACCTTAGATTTTGTGCTTATATTATAAAACCTATGCTTAACTCTTCCTTAGTACCTCATACATTTTAGCATGCCATCAATTTAATCAAACATTAACTAAGGTCATAAAGGTACATTTCCCTCTCACAATTGATGGAAATTTACTTCAATTTTATTATGTAGGCGGTCAGACTAGATAATCATAATAGTCCCTTCTGGCTTTTTAATTTATGAATTTGTTATTCCACCTCTTGTCAGACTTACAACTCTGACATCACTGACTTTTAATGATATCTGCTAGACAAGAAGGGTTTAAAACAGCTGAAATTTCATCAGAGTTTGTGCATGCTAGTTCATATTTATTATAGTTGCCTAAGAGGAATTATGCACTTTCAAGTATTTTTTACACTTTCCTCTAAGCAAGTGCATCTCTATGCTGCAAAATTGGCAGCTAAACATCTTAAACATTTACCATCGCATTAATAAGAATTATTCAGATTACATGTAAATGTACAGTTCCACACTGCAAAACTGTCAGCATTCTATTAACTGCATTTTGGGGGCCATGTTATATTTTCAGATGTTCCATTTAGGGAAGTGCTGTATTTGTTTGACAGCTATGCTGATTCATAATTGTCGTTAATTTAAGCAAATACAAATCTCCTCTGATAAGTACCTTAGAAATAAAAGGAATATGTATTCTTGTATAAGGCTTAATTAATTTTATAAGCACTTGTGTTCTGATGTTTCGCAAAAGCTCTGTAAGAGAAGAAAAACAAATAAGTAACTATTGTAAGAACAATGGTTACATATTCAAATGAGCAAGTGTGCAATATAATTCCATATTTATATCTAATAGGTCTTTTCCATCTCTTAACTGCTATGATCCTATGTGGTAATAAAGTACTCCCACATTTTAAAAATAAGCCAACTTTCTTCACTGGTTGTTTCACAATATGTAGCTCAGCCTGGGTATTAGCAGGAGTACTGGATAATGTTGAAACTTGTTTAAGCTTGAAAATACATTTTTCAAAATAGTTTGTAACTATTTTAAAATTATTCTAAGAAAATGGATAAATGGTACACAATATTGCACAGTATCTTTACCAACTCAGCTTACTATAGAAATACCTGTCTTTCACCAAAATGTGAAAAGTTTAAGGCACTAACCCTGCAAATATGCATATGCTTGATTTTAAGCACAGGAGTAACCCCATTGAAGTCTGTTTGCAGAATCAGAGTTTAATAACCTAACAAGACAAGAAGTTGAGGCAGAGTTGCAATGTAAAGAGTCTGTGCAGCAGCTAAGAATGTTTTTCACTTTCTTATTAGATAAACTGCAAGCTTAATAAATTAAAAATATGCATGCATGAACTGTTAATAAAAATGTATGAAAGTTCACAAAAGAAATTTGCTATTCACTAATATTTTTTAAGCCTGTTCGATTTTCCTTCACTCGGCCAGCTGACTGTTTTACTGCTGTTCGTATGCTTATCAAATCTCTCACATGAAAACCCAAACTTAACACTATATAGGAATATACTACAATACTTTTTATTTTAATTAGTGACAATTAATGTCATAATGGGCCAGACCCTCCAATGCAGTGTAGTCACATTTCACTACACTATTAATCACATTTGGCTAAAAAGCTGTATTAATTGGTCCAGGAAGGATCACCTCCGTCTAAGGATGATCCTTCAGTGATAAAGAGCTGATAGAGGTTTGAACCCCACATACTCTCCCTGCTTCTGGTGTAGCAATGAAAATGGAGTATGGCTTGAGAAAAAAGGGGGGGTGGCTGATGGGCCCCTATACTATGCACTCAAAATACAACACAGGGTGGATGACTTTTACAGAGCACCACTAGGGAGCACAAAGATTGAGTTTTAAGATACCATCACATTCTGCATATTTTGGCTGCATCATAGGATCTGACCCAATAACTTCCATGCAATTATATATCTTTTACGAATAACAGTTTTAGTCATATTCAGATTGCCCTCATGAGCTGTTAAGCACGCATGCTTTTCCTCAATAGGAGCCGCATCCAAAGCTGACTGAAGTCAGCTGTAATTTTTCCATTACTTCAAATAGATGAGGCTCTAGGTTTGCTGCTGTTTTTATTCATAAATCTGGTTGCAAGTGTGATCCTTTTACCAAAAGCAACTATTGTTTTGGTAATTTTCGGAGTTATATAGCAAAGCATCTCATTAACCCTGACTTCCAAGGATAGAGTTTTTAAACACTAACTGTATCGTTCACAGCAATAACATCTTATAAGGAACAATTATTTTTTTATTATTCTCCCAATGCAGAAGAAATATATCTTAATAAGTAAGGGAAAAAACAGAATTACAACTAGGACAGGCTGACAGTATCCTGAATGATGTTCACTGAATGAAGCTAAACTTTGAATTAAGTTTAACATCTTTGGGGTCCACTGTATTAAAAATGCAATTGTTTGTGTTCCTGTGGAACTGAGTGTATCTATCTTCTATAGGAGACTGACTAATGCAACCTCTGGATGGCATTAGGAACTTCAAAGGACTTTTTGGACCAATACCTGTGAAGTGGATGCAAATGACTCACTTTGAATCCTCCTTTTTCAAGGTACCCTCAAGGTAGGAAAGCCCACGGTCAACATGCTCCTAGAAACTCCAGGTCAAAGACCCCTGAACTGTATAAACGGTGGACTAAACATCTTATGAGTGTTCTAGTTCAGAGTTTAAGCTATAATGAATTGTAACCACAAACTGAATCCCCTTAGGTGGGGGGAGAAGGAGATGAAGGATGATTCCTGCCACAATCAATGTTAGATTCTAGTAAGCTTATTAGCATGGGTGTAGGTTCTTTATTGTTTTTAATATGCTTTCTCTGTATTGCTTTTTATGGTAATAAAAAAATAGGTGTGCACACAAAGAACTGTGTGGTACTGTAGCAATTACACCTGTTAACCATGTCTGAAGAGAAAGCAAGCACGTGCCTTTGGGCAACTTGCCCGTGCTGGGAAGAACATAGTGAAGGCAGGGAACCGTGCACCCTGGAAATACCCTGGTCTGCAGGGAGAGAGACACGGGTCTCCATCCAGAAAGGCAAAAACTAGGAAGCTGGAAGCCTGAAGCTGGTGCCCACTCAGGGGAAACACAGGTGCAGTTGCCCTGAACTGTGACAACAACTTCCTGTACCCATACCTTCAATGTGCTCCCTTATGAAGGGATCGTCCATGATGTTGCTGTGATTTGTTTTCAGAATCTTCTCAAATTCAGTGATGTCATTATTCTGATAGGCACTTCAACGAGAGAGGAGAGTGAATTACAGTTTTGTCAAGTAAAAAAAGTCTCAGATCAGGATAAGATTTCCAGTTTACACATACTAAAAAGTATATTAAATATTGGTAGCAAAGAATTACAGTCACAATCTTTCTGATAGTTAGAAATTGAGGATGCTTAAGATAAAAGGGTGTTGAAAACATGCATCTTAAGATAACACTGTAGCTCCTTCATTTCTTCTACTGCATATTTTGTTAGTATTCACAGAAGTTTAATATGAATGTTCTGCCCTTTTGCAACTATAAATTGGTCTTGAACTATTTGTATTTTAAAAAGTTATCCTATTAAAAACACTAAAAATATAGTCACTCAAAGTTACTCAATTGTTTTGTTATGTTAATATGGATGTGTCCTGATGCACCTTAATGGAACCTCATGTGTTTAAATGCAAAGAGGCATCAGCAATGTATTGTCCAGTATATGCATTCAATTGCTGTTAATTATGTTTGTGAATGTGTGTGTTTTAGTAATGACTTTCTCCTTCATAGTGTGGATATTCTTTCTGACTGAACCTACAGCAAAGTAATCTTTGTGCTTATACACATCAAACTCTATGACAAAATAATTATGATGCTATAACCTCAGCATTAGACTTCATTGTGGATCAACTCTGAGGAGACGTTAAGCAGTGCAGAAGCAAATGTTTGTAGTAGTTGATAAACCTGATATGAAACATCTCATAATTAAATGGCATTTAAATTACGTATAAAATTTCAAAGGGTACCCCACAAAGTTGTTTTACAATGTACAAAATGTGCAAGTTCCCCAGAAAATCTAAATGCAAATTTAGTTTCTAATTATAGTAGAAATTAAGAATAGCATTGTAACTTTAACAAAATTGATGTTATCTGCTGCAGCTTTGTAATTTGTGCTATATTTTTTACGTGCTTTCATATTTTTGAGAGAAAAATATACTCAGATGTAAAGATAAAGAATATAAATTAGGTAGTATGACTGAAAGCAGGCTTGCTAAAGCCCATGGGAGTTCCTTCTGTCTCAAATTTACATGAAAGCATGAAGCTAAAGTAGAAAGGACGTATATGGAATTGAAATTCTCTGAAGTAATCCCTCCACAGATTGCCAAATCCTTTATTTATCATTAGGTCAATAATGCATGTGCCTCTTTGACTTCAGAAAGAGTGTTGTTGTTTTTGAGCAGTTGATAGCAAACAGTAGCTGTAGCTGAACAATGTTTGGCCCACAGTGTTAACTATATATTTCAATATTTGGACAGAGGAATTCCCCATCTTTTGACTGCAAAAGAGAACTGAACACAGATTGCTTCTTATTTATCAAGAGAGAAGCTGCTTATAGTGGACAGGACCTGATTGGTTTCACAGCAAAGCATGAAAGAACTGTCGCAATACAATCTACATAAGTTGATGGTCTTGATTCCTAGGGCCTAAACACTGCTGACCACATTCTCTGTAAAAAGCCATGTAGTACTTTGGATCTTCTTCATATGCTTAGGGACACACATGCCCGCAGGATTTGAGACTTGAAAGCTCTATTCCAAAAACCCTGCCATAAAACTCCTTTGGCACACATGCCTTGATGTGCGAAAATACTGCACATCAGTGCCTCCAAATTATCCTACTAATATAACATATCATATCAACTTTCAAGGAAAGCTTAACGGGCCTGATTTTCAGAAGTCCCGGGCATTCCCAGCTGCCAATGGATTTGCAGGTGGTCAGCAACTCTGAAACAATCAGACTCTAAATGACCAAATTTGAATTTCCATAGTCATCACTGGCCATCCTGGAAACTCTGAATGCCTTGAAACTCACTGACAAATGCAGTTGTAAACATTTTTAAGTACCCTCTATTCCAGGACTAGTAATATCTTAGCTTCTATTATCATGCAGTATACTGAACTTCTACCAAAAAAAAAAAAAAGAGCACTCATGTTATTTCCTAAAGAGAAAAAACCCATGTGAATGTTCTTTTTAATATTATGGTGAACTATAAGAGAGAAGGATCAGCTCATGGAAAGAAAAGAATAAAATTTGCAGCCTTTATATACAATAAATACAATTAAATATAATCATAATAATTATAAAGATAATTCTTGCTTCTGAATACAACGTTCAATCAAATTTTCACTAGATAATCACAGTAAATAAGCTGATAGTTGGAGACAATTTAGCCATAAAATCAGCAAACAAATGTGATCTCTCCGATGTTCAAACCTCAAAGAACATCTTTTTAGTCAGTTCCCCAGTCTTGCAAATAAAATCTCATGATTCAGAATTAGGATATTTGGAAGACACTTGCCTTTATGGAAAAACACTAACATTAATGACACCAGATAGGAATTCAGCCCGATATACTGTTTTAGATGTAAAACAAAAAAGTATATGTTCTTAGTGTGGTCTTTTTAAACTGGTACTGTAGAGAATTTTATATAGATCAGTGATACTCAGACCTCAGGGGTTCAGGAGCCAAGTTAGCAATCAGTATTACCCAACAGAGCCACAGTAGTGTGAATTCATTGTTTCATTTACTATTAGTACTATATATTCATATTTAAACAGCACATCAGGGGAAATATTTAGTTTTATATATTATACATATACATACACACAAACTCTCACACCAAAATAACTGACCAAGTATTATTATTTTATCAACAATAATTGGTTAGTAACATAGTGAAAGCATCCTGATTAAATCACACAGTGTTTTAATATCATGTGATGCAAAGCGCTGCGGGAGACACATTAAAGAGTCACTTGCGGCTCGTGAGCCTCAGTCTGAGTATTACTGATATAGATCACACTAAACAGAAAGCTTCTGAACAACAAAAACATTGAAAATCCAAAACCGAAATGCTGGTTTGATACCTATGAAAAAGTCTGTTTGTATTATTTTCAACAAAACAAAACAGAACAAAAATATCTGTTTCATGGTTAGTAACTTTGCCCTTCAGGAAAAATAAAATATCTTACCTTACTAAATTTGTCATTGCTAGAATCTCTGGATCATTTTTGTATGGTTTAGCCTACACAGAACAGAAACCATAATAAGTACATTTAGGTAGCAAAAAAAGCTATTTATGCCAATTTCCCTATTAAACGGGAAAAGCAGCAGCTAAGCCGACTTGTGCACATTTATAAGTATACCTCCTGAGAGTCAAATGGATTTATTCCGGACTTCATCAGCATGTTTGCTAGGACCAAATATTTTAAGCAAGTGGTTCTTCTAGGACTCCCTGATTCATCATAATTCTTGAATGCTTCAAAAAAGTCAGTGTGTGCCTTTTCAAATTCTCCTTCCCTTAAGTGCATTTTGCCTCCACATTCTGAAAAGAAAACAATGATGAAAGAAGCTGTGTGCTTGCAGCCATTTATCAGAACGATTCTACTAAATGTACCATGCTGTCTAAACTGATTCCTGAATATATTTTCACGGGTTTTTTTTTTAATTCATTAAAATTGCTGAGAAAAAGCATTAGCACATCAATATAAGGCAGCTGCTTCTTTTTTGGTTTTCCAATTCAAATATTATTAAAAATAACCACTCCTAAGATCACTCCATGACTAGAAAGAAAAGTGTATCTTTGCAACCTTTTTGTTAAAAAGTTGCAATTAATACATTTACTCAGTTGGAATTTATCCCAGACAAACTTCAAAGAGAATACATAGCAACATTATCTATTTATGGGAGCTATCCAACATATTTTTAGAAAAACTATTTAGAAAGTCAAATGAGAAATATTATTTTCCTTTTACTGCTCTAATTGGCAGGTTTCCTGTCAGCAGAGGAGACAAGTGATAGCCATATCCTGGTGAAAGGTGCTTTCAGACATGGTACATGCCCTCACTACAATTCATTTAACCATTACTGGCCATTAAATAGGTACTTCCGGTGAATCCTAATGCTTTTTTATTTGCCAATGCAATTCAACGAGATCAGATATTTGGAACGTTTTCTGTAATGTATTTTCAGTTGAAACAACATAAAAAAGTAAGACATTTTTTAATTTAAGTGACACTGGTCTGAACAAAGGAATTTTAAAGTAGTAATATAAAAACAACTTGCCTCTGATGACCCCCATGATCAGTGGATGAGGAATGGCAGACTTGATGTGCAATGACTGTTCATATAGTGCTTTAAGTTTTTTGTTATTTTTCTGTGCTGTATACATTTGAATTTCCAATGCATAGATTTCCAATAGCTGGGTGCCCTTTTTTAAATCATCTTCTCCATCATCAGTCTAGGAAAGAGTGATAATGAATACTGTGAATCTTGAAATAATGCTGAGGTCACCATTCTAGTAATATAAAAGTGTTACACTAAATATTTTCAGAAATCTCCTGCCAAAAATAAGGAAGTTTCCAAATACCATATTTTTAATACAACCAGTGAAATTAAAACATTATGTTCAAGGACCAAGTTCTGAAGTTTTTCACTTGGGTAAAAATACTGACTTTACTATGAATTTTGCTTGAGTAAAGATTTCAAGAGTTGACCTTCTGTACATTTCATATCTTAAGAATTTCTTTCAGTATACAAAAGATATAGCCACATAACCACTGCAATAGAGCAGTGATGTATTCATGACCATATTATTGCTAATAATGGGCCAGATTCCCAGGTGTACATCATCTTTGTTCAGCATAAAGATGGAGAGGATAGGCAAAGCTGGAGGCTGATTTGGCCAATGCACGTGGCTTAATATATTTTTTCCACAATGAAGTAAAGGCCATAGTTTTCTCCTATGGTTAAGCTTCATTTAGAATTTTTGCTTCTCTGTTGGTTTAAATACAGTTTTTTCCCCCCAAATAGTTTGTATTAATTTTAATAATACATTAGAAGGAATAATAATTCACAAATGCTTTTCATTCCTGCACCCAAGTGAAATGTAATGATAATGCAGTTACTGTCTGCTGGTTATGAAAATTCATCTTTTTACCAGAAATTAACTATTCTATCATTTTTATTTCAAGTTACAAAACAGATAAGGAATTAAAACAAGCATTAGATTTAATTTCTATTTACAAAGTATAATGATATGCCATTCTCATAGCCTGAAAACTGGATGTGAAATTAGTACTAAACACAAAGTTACAGTGAATGATTTTACATGTAGTTTTGGGGTAGTAAAGTTTTTTTTTTAAATATCTACTCTACTGTACCTGGCATGACTGATGCAACTGGCGCAAAATCTTCTGTAATTTTCCATATTCTTCTCGTTCTAAATATAATTTGCCAAGCTGTGATTAAAGAATTAAAGCCATTAGGACAATTAGGATTTTGGAATTTATAAAATGTAGACTTGCAATTTAAGGAAGTTATAGCAAGCTAAAAATCAAACTAAATGTTATTTATATATTTTACCTTTGTGTTTGTCTTAAACCACAATCTATCATTCTTAGCATCTTTCAGAGCTTCAAGTGTTGTTTCATAAAATTCCTGAAGCAAATCCATCTGGCATAAAAAATCAGAATTCTATAATTGTAAACAGCAAATTTGTACCTGTTAATATAGTCAGTTTGAAAAAACTAAAAGCGCATGTTTGAACTTCAACACAAATAAGATACAGAAATCTGCATCTTATTGAACTATTACTTATAAATAGCAGAAATTGCAACTAAAATGACAAAACTTAAGCATAATAAATAATCAACAGTATTATCATAAAATAGAAGATTTCACTGAAGTTTGGAACTGACAAAAGCATTTAGAAGCACCCGGATGTAAGCTTTTAATTCAAAATAAGTTGCACAAGGTTTTAAAATCTGCAATTTATCATATTAGTGAAGAACCAAAGCTACTTATCCATCTTAAGCAGATAATAAAATCATTGTTATGTAAGTATCTAAGAAAAATACTAACAGAAAGCTAGCATTACTGTTACTGGAAACTGAAAAAAGAGAGACCAACAAGGGTAAAAGGATAGGAGGGGAAGTGGTCAATAAAAGATATTTTCTCCCTCCTATCCAAATACTGCATGAAAGAAGAAGAAAAAATGTCTGACTGTTCTGCTCAGAGCAGACCAGAAGATGTTCCTGTATGGAAACAAACGGTAACACCCAAAACTGCATAGTGCTTAATAGCATTTTCTTAAAAATTAGATAATCTAGAAAGTTGAGAGAGAAACTTTCTATACACTTAATGGCCAGATTATCTACTGGGTGCAGTTGGGAAGGGGCCCAGTGGCTTTTAGGTTGCAGGTATGAGTCCCTGATTCTCTCCATTCCTAGCTCCTGGCACAACTTAGAACAAATACTCTAAACTGCCAACTAGGTATGCTCCTAAGGCTACCCATCCTTGGAACTGCCAGAATACATCACACTTCAGTCACTTCACCTGTCCCTCCCCATGTGTTGCAGGAGGGGAGGAAGGCCTAGAAGTCAACTCTGTGTGCTGGCAATTCTCCACATGCTGGGTATCCCCAGCTAGGAGCTTAGGGGAGCTTTCTTCTTTCTTTATGCTGCTCCAGTAGCACAAAGAGAGCAGAGCTTGGCCATGGATCTGGTACTATGTACCTAGTCTGCTCACTTTACTAGTCTGAAAGATAGGCACATTTCTTACCGTATCTAAATGCAAAATTAATGAGTATACAGAGTTATTTTAATTACAAATTACATATGAGAACCTATTGATGGTGGTACCACTTCGCTGAAAAACAAGTCACTTGTGACATTTAGCTGTATAGAAATCCCAGGTAAGAAATACTAAGTAGTTTCTAGACTGTTTTAATCTTGTGTAGATGACAAAGTTAAAGACAAGTTATTTTTAACACACGATCAATAAATTGTGGGGAACAATATTTAGCATACTGTAACAAATGTAATATTATAATTTTTCTCCAATTATACCAAGAATCAGGTTTTCAAAAGGCAAAAAGTCCATGCAAAAAATGGATAGGTGGAAGAGGAATGGTAATCTAACCTGTTTGGAAGTGGAGATATAATCAAGAATAGAATTGATGGATTTTTCAGAGTAATTCCTTGTAACTGCACTCCGTATGTAGGTCAATAGCTGTTTATATCTGTTCATCATTTCAGGAAAGTTAGTCTGTGAGGAAAAACATATATAATTCATAATCATGAAAAATTGTATACTGAACATTGCCATTAGATACAAACATCTGTAAATATGCACAGAAAACCCAAAGACGTTACAGTAGAGAGACTACGCAGTGATGCACGTCTGTGATTGCTTTAAGTTTTCTGTCACCTATTTAGGATGACCACATTGCTCAGAAGTGGCAGAGTCAAAAGTGAGTTAAATGGATCTTCACAGAACAGAAATTTAAACAGAGAAGTCTATTTGAGAATTAGCATGGCCATTTTATTTGGTGTGAAAACATATTTCCTACCAACACATTATAGTGAACAATGTTGTGACATTCTATACCTTGGGGGAGCATCCTGGAACCCCCATATTCCTCATTTTATATAATCGTGATCTTACATATAAAGCATGCCTTGTAAGGTATTGGGGAAAGGTTATGACCTGCTGAAAGTAATTTCTCTATCCATATACATATATCATTAATGCATATGAAGTTATGACAATTGTGTTGTATGGTGGTCACTAAAACTTGCTGTAAGTTGGGGAATCAGCCAGACATTAGCTCCCCAGAGGCAACAGCAAGGAAAGTAGCCAATACCCGGTAGGGTATCAATCAATCCATCAACAACCATTGTCCAGCAAGGGAACTACAATGCAATGACTCACCTGCATGAGGCCACACCAGGGGAATTGCTCAACCTTGCTTGGAGACTCAACAATGCCCCCAGACATGCCTGGACTTGTGTTTTCCAAGCACGTGGACTGAGGGTATAAAACAGAGAGTGGACACATACTGGGCCCTTCTCCTGCCCCCACCTACGCTGCAAGCAACTAAGACACTGAGAAGACAAGACTCCAACAGAGGAGATTGGCCCAGATTTCAAGGGTGAAATCTGTATACTAAGGACTGCAATATCCAGTGTGGTGAGAAAAACTGCTTAATCTAGTTGTTGCCCTGTCTAAAAGGTTTGAGAGTTTAGACTGCATGATTATATTTTATTTCTTTTGGTAACTAACTCTGACTTTTCGCCCATCACTTAATATCACTTAAAATCTACCTTTTATAGTCAATAAACTTAACTGTTTATCTTTACCAGTGAGTTTGTATGAAGTGTGTGGCAAATCTCAGGTGTTGCAAAGGCTGGTGTACAACCACTTTCCATTGCTGAAGTGGTGAACCAATTAATAAATCTGCACTGCCCATCTTGAGTAATGCAAGACGGTATATTCCTGAGGTACAGTGCTGGGAGCTGGGGGGTTTTGGCTCTGGTGCCATTCTCTGTGTGCTTCATGAGTGGCTCTGGGAGCCTTCATGCAATCTAGCTGGGTGTGTGGGGCTCCACATACTGTTGTGCTGAGTGATCACAGCGCCTAGAGGGGCTTGCTGCTGGTCACTAGCAAGGCATTATGAGAGACAGCCCAGGCTGGAAAGAGTTAAGGGGGCACAGTGGTCCCAGTCCCAGGCTGCACCCCAGGGGGATCTCGTCACAGATGTCTCACGTTAGCTACCTGTAATTCATATAGAAAACTGAACTTTATAAGACACTCTAAAAATTCTCTGTTTGCTGAGCTTGATATGTAAAATATAATCAGCCCATTTTATTTTTTAAACAAATTTTCAAAACTACAAGGTGGCACTCTGTATCTCAAAGCATCACCCTGGAAACCCCATATCCACCCCTCTTGTATAATTATATTTCATACAAAGCATGCCATGTAAGATATCATATGAAAGGTCATGGTAAGCTGAAACCAATTGTTCTGCCAAAATATGTATATTGTTAGTGTGCTATTACTGAAATATGTTGTGAGTAGGGCTGTCAAGCGATTAAAAAAAATGAATCACGATTAATCGTACTGTTAAACAATAATAGAATACAATTTATTTAAATATTTGTGGAGGTTTTCTGCATTTTCAAATACCATACATACTCGTCCATTGGCTGGGAATGGTGAACCGTGGCCACAGGAAGCTGAGGGGCTCCATGTCTGCAGACGCTCCAAGTAAACAAAACATCCCGACCCGCCAGCAGCTTACCCTGATGGGCCGGGAGCCAAAGTTTTCCAACCCCTGAAATATAGGGTCGGCTTATGAAAGGGTTATACAGTTTTTGCTATTTTTACCTATCCATTGGGGGGGGGGGGGTCAGCTTATAAACTAACAGGCTAATGAACGAGTATATACGGTATATTGATTTCAATTACAACACCAAATACAAAGTCTACAGTGCTCACTTTATATTTATTTTTTGATTACAAATATTTGCACTGTAAAAATTACAAACAAAATAGTATTTTTCAATTCCCCTAATACAAGTACTGTTGAGCAATCTCTATGATAAAAGATGAACTTACAAATGTAGAATTATGTACAAAAATATAACGTCATTCAAAAATAAAACAATGTAAAACTTTAGAGCCTACAAGTCCATTCAGTCCTACTTCTTGTTCAGCCAGTCACTCAGACAAACAAGTTTGTTTAGGTTTGCAGGAGATAATGCTGCCCGCTTCTTGTTTACGTCACCTGAAAGTGAGAACAGGCGTTCTCATGGCACTATTGTAGCTGGCAAGATATTTACGTGCCAGACGAACTAAAGATTCATATGTCCCTTCATGCTTCAACCACCATTCCAGAGGACGCGCGTCCATGCTGACGACGGGTTCTACTCGATAACAATCCACAGCAGTGCGGATCAAAGCATGTTCATTTTCATCATCTGAGTCAGATGCCACCAGCAGAAGGTTGATTTTCTTTTTTGGTGGTTCGGGTTCTGTAGTTTCCGCATCAGAGTGCTGCTCTTTTAAGACTTCTGAAAGCATGCTCCACACCTCGTCCCGCTCAGATTTTGGAAGGCACTTCAGATTCTTAAGCCTTGGGTTGAGTGCTGTAGCAATCTTTAGAAAACTCACTTTAGTATCTTCTTTGTATTTTGTCAAATCTGCAGTGAAAATGTTCTTAAAATGAACAACATGTACTGGGTCATCATCCGAGACCTATAACATGAAATATATGGCAGAATGCGGGTAAAACAGAGCAGGGAGATATACAATTCTCCCCCAAGGAGTTCAGTCACAAATTTAATTAATGCATTATTTTTTTAATGACCATCATCAGCATGAAAGCATGTCCTCTGGAATGGCGGCCCAAACATGAAGGGGTATATGAATGTTTCACATATCTGGCACGTAAATACCTTGCAATGCTGGCTACAAAAGTGCCATGCGAACGAATGCCTGTTCTCACTTTCAGGTGACATTGTAAATAAGAAGCAGGCAGCATTATCTCCTGTAAATGTAAACAAACTTGTTTGTCTTCGCGATTGGCTGAAGAAGAAGTAGGACTGAGCTGACTTGTAGGCTCTAAAGTTTTACATTGTTTTGTTTTTGAATGCAGTTATGTAACAAACCAACAAAAATCTACATTTGTAAGTTGCACTTGCATGATAAAGAAATTGCACTACAGTACTTGTATGAGGTGAATTGAAAAATACTTTTTTTTGTCATTTTTACAGTACAAATATTTGTAATCAAAAATAATATAAGGTGTTGTAACTGAAATGAATGTAGAAAACATCCAAAAATATTTAATAAATTTCAATTGGTATTCTATTGTTTAACAGTGCGATTAAGACTGCCATTAACCGTGATTCATTTTTTTTTAGTTAATCGCGTGAGTTAAATGAGTTAACTGCAATTTATCTACAGCCCTAGTTGCGAGTTGCCCACTGCTAGTTTTCCAGTGACAAAAAAGGAGGAGATACACTAACAGGAGGGTGTTAAATGACCATTAATCAGCAGCGATAAGGCATTTACAATGCTGCAAGAGGGCTGCACAAGCATCACACAATGGGGGATTGCTCAACTCTGTCACTCAGCATGTTAATCATGACCATATAAGTTCCCTGTGGCAACTATAATGATTGCTTATGTGGACATTATTAGAGAATTATTTTATATGTTTTAGCTTTCTTTCAAATGTAATTTTGGAGATAAAAATAAGGAGAGGACAACAATTTAAAAACTGTGAATCAATTCAATATTAATGCAATTTAGCATTTCCTGAAATGATAGCTGCAACTCCTACCAATTTGAAGTTTATTTTAATCATCTGTTTCAGTGCTTTGAATCCCCATTCTCCTTTTTCACCTTCAAGCTCCAAAACCTGAAATAGAAAAAGAATTCTTCATCAATAACCCGATGCTTATAAAGCTTACATGCAAGGGATTTTTTTTTAAAAAGAGCCAGTGTCTTTTCAAAAAAAATTAAGGAAGGTATATAAAAAGAGGCCTGAAAGTTTTTTCCTGCTTGTTTTCTACCTGATAATCCCTAATTATGTTAGGGGACTTGCTGGGGATCTCAGGCTGTTGTTAATTCACACACCTTAACTGATGGGGCAGGGTGATGGATTTTTATCAAAGACTTAATTACTCCAAAATGTTAGTCACTGAAGTTAAACAGAAATGTAAGAAAATAGAGCTTTTTAAAAAATCTGATTAAAAATCCCTTCCTCTCTCAATTGCACAACATTTCACTCTTGATTTTGTGATGTAATCATTCCATTAGTTCTTCAGTCATCTTAGATTTCAGAGTAGCAGCCGTGTTAGTCTGTATCCGCAAAAAGAACAGGAGTACTTGTGGCACCTTAGAGACTAACAAATTTATTAGAGCATAAGCTTTCGTGGACTACAACCCACTTCTTCGGATGCATATTAGTCATCTTAGAGTCTTCCAGGTTAGACAAGAGCTGAATATTTAGTGTAACAAAAAAGGAGTATCCCCTCTCCTCCCCCCCCCCCCCGCCACACACACCAATTAAAAAAACCCACCAACAAAACAGATCTCTTTAGAGGCTTTCTTTATACACCATAAAGAAGCCCAACAGGCCTAATGTTTTTCCCTTTACTGATCATCTTTAACACACCACTTTCTGGAAACAGCATGCATATATTAAGAATTTATAATTCATGTGAATGACAACTCTTCTACAGGTATTTTGTCAGTTGGCATTTATACACTTGAAACCTTTTACTCAGGATTTACTCAGCCTCCCAACCTTAAGCAAATACTCACCAGCAACCGCACACCATACAACAAAAACACTAACCCAGGAACACTATCCTTGCAACAAAGCCCGATGCCAGCTCTGTCCACATATCTATTCAAGTGACATCATCAAAGGACCTAATCACATCAGCCACACAATTAGGGGCTCGTTCACCTGCACATCTACCCATGTGATATATGCCATCAGGTTCCAGC